GGGTCGTCACACGGGCCACTGGTCGTGTGACCGCGAGCCCTGCCGACGGTCGCAGCGGCGACGACTTTGGCCACTTGACGAGCGACAGAGCCGCTTCCTCACACGGCCAGAGGTCGTCCTCGCGGGGGGGGGGGGGGGGCTTCAATCACCGCGGCGTCACAAATGCGCTGCGGAGTTCACTCGGAGAGCTCCGCGCCAGGGCGCTCGCAGGCACCGCCGCCACCAGCGGAGCGGGGCGAACCAGCGGAGCGGCTGCTCGAGGAGTGCGCAAGGGGTCGGGGGGGGGGCAGTGGTGACCCCCCCCCCGCCAATTCCTCGGACCACGCTGCCCCGCTGGAGAGAAACTGCAGCCTCGGCAGCCTCGGCGCAGGCGCCTTCCACGGCGTCACCGCGCCCAGCGCAAGTCGCGACTGCCCTCGCTGCTGCGATCACGCCGCTGCTGGGGGAAGGCGGCTTCCTCCATCTGTCACACACCGACACCACCGCCGCCGCCACGCGTCCCATTCGCTGCCCCTTGTTGTCGACGAGGCCACGACGCTCCACGTGCGGCTAGCGGGGGGGGGGGGGGGGTTCTGGTGGAGGTGTTCGTGTAGTCGTGAGTCGCGGTGTGCTGCTACCCAACGGGGAGCGGTGGCGCACTGGTTAGCGCGCTGTGCTGCGCGCTACGATCCCTGCGGCCCGGAGTTTGATTCGTCGCTCGCAGCAGCCGTCGGTGACGGCACTGAGCCCAACAACAACAACAACCACCGCTGTCGGGCTACGTGGGGGATCTTTGCCTTCTCTGTGTTTGTGCGTGTGGTGTCCATCAGTGCATGTCGGGATGTCGATTAATGGAGGGAACGACACACCGATTAACATCGATTATTAGGCTCGGGATACAACACGTGAGTTAGAAGATATATTGTTTACGCTTCTCGCAATTGAGTCGCATGCACCGTCGTTGAGACATTGATGATGAACTGAATGTCGAAACCGCTCCAGAGTTTGCTTGAATTGAGCCCATTGCTGCAGAAACGATGCACTGCCGGCAGGCCGTACGGTCCTGGGGATGTGCGACAAATCCCTTTTTTATTTCATGTCCACAGACAGATGGGAGATGCACAGACGCCGCTTGTTTATGGTGCGGCTCTAAACAAGTTCGCCCCTGCAGCCGCAGGAGGCGCCGCTCCAACTCGCCGCAATGAAACAACAAAACCCCACGGACAAACGGCACCGCCGCTGAGCCGTGCAAGTTGTTTTTAAATCCTTTATATTAAGTTCGCTTGCTTGCTTGCGCGCTTACGACCGTGCAAATCTTTCGGTCGTTTTTTAACCCACTTCCCGTGATCCAATCGAGCTGACATTTTCCACACAGACTCGTTGTGCGTGACAATTAATTTTCGTGAAAATTTTTTTCCTAAATTTTACACTTTTTAGGAAAAAATAAATTATATTTAATTACCAATTGCTTAATGGTGCCAGGAAATCATCTGACCCATAGGTGGCAGCCATCTCAAGCCAGAGGACGAGAGGACTCTAGCCGCCACGCATATAAAGGATTTATAGTGAAAAACTTTGTTTTTACGGGTAAATTTTTTAATGTTGGGATGAGATTCATCTCTCCACATGCCTCGATGTGCCGTGCGTCACGTGTCACATGTCACATGCTGTGTGCTCTGTGCGTCTCGTGCGGTGTAAACGTGATGGTGTGTATGCTGCATCATGCGTGCGTGTTGTTTACGTGGTATGTTATGTTGCCTCCGAAACGGCGTGATTTTTATTTTATTTTTTATTTTACTTTTATTAATTTTAATGTTTTGCCTACGTGACTTTACCGAAAAAACCTAAATATGAATATAATTATGTGCGTGTGTTTATATTGTTTATACCGTATGTACTGCGACACGTGGTGTTCGTGTGACATGCGTGTTGTGTATACGTGTGGTTTATGGTGCACGTGTGTGTGTATGCGTGTTATTGTGTGTGTATATATTGCGATGTGTACGGTGTACAATCATGAATGTGCGTGTAATGTTACGTGTGCGTGGTGTGTACATTGTATGCGTGTTGTATGCTGATGTGTGTGTTGTGTGTCATGTGAAGCCTCTGGTTTAAATTGTGTTCATGGTGTGTGATGTACATGGCGTATGATGTGTGTTTGCCGTGTGATAGTTTGGTGTATGATACATTTCATTTGTGCACGTTGTGTGTGTGTATGGTGTATAGTACACGTGCATAATGTATGAATGTTATAGAGTGTATATGGTATACAGTGTATGTGTGTGTATATTAGGTGTATGTATGGTGTGTGCTGTGTGTGTGTCGTCTGTGGTGTATTTGGTATGTGTATGTGAGATGTGGTATGCTAAATTGTGTTTGTTGTCCATAAATCATACACGCGTGACGTTTATGGTGCGTATGTGTATCATGCGAGCTGTGTATAGGGTGCGTGGTGTGTGTGTATGATGAAGCGTGGTGTGTGTGGTGCGTGGTGTGTGTGGTGTATGTGTGGTGCGTGGTGTGTGTATGATGAAGTGTGGTGTGTGTGGTGTGTGTATGATGAAGTGTGGTGTGTGTGGTGTGTGTATGATGAAGTGTGGTGTGTGTGGTGTGTGTATGATGAAGTGTGGTGTGTGTGGTGTGTGTATGATGAGGCGTGGTGTGTGTATGACGAAGCGTGGTGTGTGTGGTGAAGCGTGGTGTGTGTGGTGTGTGTAGTGTGTATATATTGAAGCGTGGTGTGTGTGTGATGCAGCGTGTTGTGTGTGGTGAAGCGTGGCGTGTGTGGTGTGTGTATGATGAGGCGTGGTGTGTGTGGTGTGTGGTGTGTATATATATTGAAGCGTGGTGTGTGTGGTGTGTGTATGATGAGGCGTGGTGTGTGTGGTGTGTATATATTGAAGCGTGGTGTGTGTGGTGTGTATGACGAAGCGTGGTGTGTGTATGGTGAAGCGTGGTGTGTGTGGTGTGTATATATTGAAGCGTGGTGTGTGGTGTGTGTGGTGTGTGTATGGTGAAGCGTGGTGTGTATGATGAGGCGTGGTGTGTGTGGTGTGTATATATTGAAGCGTGGTGTGTGTGTGTATGATGAGGCGTGGTGCGTGTGGTGTGTATGATGAGGCGTGGTGTGTATGATGAGGCGTGGTGTGTGTGGTGTGTGTATGGTGAAGCGTGGTGTGCGTGGTGTGTGTGGTGTGTGTGGTGTGCGGCGAGTGACGTGGGGTAGCGGTTAGCGCGCTGCGCTCCGGACCCGGCCACCCGAGTTCGAGTACCGCTCACGACCAACAACAGTGGCGAATATCTGAACTAGTCCTGGGCCTCCTCTGGGTCGACTCGGCCCCAAACGAGTACACGGTATTAGGGAGACAAAGGCGGCCGGGCCTGGTATTGGCCATCCACCCCCTCGTGTGCCGCGCCGGCCTTCATAGGTGCTCGCTAACAGCACTTGCCCCAACAGCCTGTTGAGGCTACGCGGGGGATCTTTGTCTTCGTGTGGCATGTGTTGTATACGGCGCGTGTGCGAGATGCGTGTATCAGGGTTGAGCGCACATGGCCACACACACGGCCGTGTCTCACGCAGGCACCGGGCAGTCCGGGGGGGTCCCCTGGGACGCGGGGGTGGAGGAGCGGGGCCCGGCCGGGAGGAGGAGGGGGAGGAGGAGGGGGCAGTGGGGAGGGCCGAGGGGATGACCCCGCGTGTGTGTGCGCGTGTGTGTGTGTGCGGAGGGAGGAGGGAGTTTCGGGTGTGTGTAGATGGGTGAGTGGAGCCCCGGGTGTGTGTTGGCGCCTGCCTGTAGGTGGGGGGGGGGGTTGTTGTGAGATGGTGAGCAGGCGCGTGTTGTGGTGTGCAGGGGTCAGCGCAGCGCGCGCGAGTGGGCGGTGTGCGCGGAAGGGTGGAGGAGATGATGAAGATGGTGGGGGAGGGGCGTGCTGGCTCCGTGATTGAGTTGGTGGGAGGTGTGTCTGAGTGATGCGCGGGGTGAGTGTTACCACCCTGTGTGTGTGCGCGCGCGCGGGTCGAGGAGGTGTTGTTTCTATGGCTCCTTGTCGTGGAGTGTGTGGTTCGCGGGTGCGAGCAGTGTTCGCGTGCGTGCCGGTGTTGTTGGGGTGCGCGTGTGTGCTGTGTGGATGTTGTGTGCTGCGTAGGGGGGCGTGTTTGTGCGTGTGAGCGCCGGCTGTGTGTGTGTATGTTAAGATGGTGTATGTGCCGAGTGGTAGGGCGCGCTGTGTGAGTGTACGCTGTGCGTGCTGGCTGTAAGTGTGCTGAACGTACGAGCGCGCGCGTGCGTGTGTGACAGGGTTTGTGGGAGCTGTGTGTGTGTGACAGGGTTGGTGGGAGCTGTGTGTGTGTGACAGGGTTGGTGGGAGCTGTGTGTGTGTGACAGGGTTGGTGGGAGCTGTGTGTGTGTGACAGGGTTGGTGGGGGCTGTGTGCGTGTGACAGGGTTTGTGGGAGCTGTGTGTGTGTGACCGGGTTGGTGGGGGCGCTGTGTGTGTGTGTGTGACAGGGTTGGTGGGGGCTGTGTGTGTGTGTGTGACAGGGTTGGTGGGGGCTGTGTGTGTGTGTGTGACAGGGTTGGTGGGGGCTGTGTGTGTGTGTGTGACAGGGTTGGTGGGGGCTGTGTGTGTGTGTGTGACAGGGTTGGTGGGGGCTGTGTGTGTGTGTGTGACAGGGTTGGTGGGGGCTGTGTGTGTGTGTGTGACAGGGTTGGTGGGGGCTGTGTGTGTGTGTGTGACAGGGTTGGTGGGGGCTGTGTGTGTGTGTGACAGGGTTGGTGGGGGCTGTGTGTGTGTGTGTGACAGGGTTGGTGGGGGCTGTGTGTGTGTGTGTGACAGGGTTGGTGGGGGCTGTGTGTGTGTGTGTGACAGGGTTGGTGGGGGCTGTGTGTGTGTGTGTGACAGGGTTGGTGGGGGCTGTCCTGGGTGTGAGCTGTGCGCGTGTGTCCGGCAGCCCCCTTGTCCGGCCGAGGAGGCGTTCCTCCCTTGCCCTCCTCCCCCGCCCCCCCACCCCGAGCGTGCGGGCTCGCCTCGGCTCCCCACAACCCAAACGGGATGCGACCCTCGCGTCGCGAGCGACGACTCCGCGGCGCTGCGTCCCGAGCGCACTCATGGCGAGAGGGAATTACAAACACGAACTTTGGTGCGGGGCTCTTCGGCTCCTGGCGGTGTTCGTCTGCGGCGCAGGTGAGGGAGGCGCGGCTTCGTGTTCCCTGCGCCCCGGTAGGCGATGGGTCTCTCGTCCCTCTTCTCTCTCTCTCCCCCATCTCTGTCTCCCGGGCGGCTGCATCTCCGCGCTCAGCCATGAGGTCTTCTTGTTGTTGTTGTTGTCGTCACGCATGGTAACGGGACTTGAGGCGTCCTGCCGAGTCCCGGACTCGCCACGCGCGGCCTGAGATCGAGTCCCGTGCGGGGCAGACGTCGGGGGGACGCGGCCACCAGAGTCCCGGGATGGGGCTCGGGGATGGGGCCCAGCGTGGGGGAGCCGCACGCGATGGACAGGGCAGCCCGTGCGTGTGCGTGCGCGTGCGTGTTGTTGATGCGCAAAGTTACGGGGCAGTTGATGCGCGTGTCCGTGGCTCTGAGTGGCGGCCCCATCGTGAGCCCCGCGCTCTCGTGGCCAGTGCTCGCGAACAGCGCCTGGGCTCGGTGGCATCTCGAGGCTCGAGGAGGAGTGTGCGTCGGTGTCCAGCACCAAAGAGACTTCTGGGTACCGCGGTCTCTTGACTTGGCGGCTCTCCGCAGAGGTCATCCGGCGATGTATTTCATGTGTGTGCGAGGGCTTTGCGCGCGTGTTGATAATGCCCGCGAGGAGGTCCGTGCTCTGCGTGCTGGGCGCGAGTGTTGTGTAGCACACACACACACACGTGAGATACAGACACACGTGTGTGTGAGAGAGAGAGATGTGCGCTCGCTGTGGGGAGCGGTGGCGGAGTGGTTAGTGCGGTGTCGCAAGTTCGATTACGGCTCACGACCCACCTTTAACAGTGGCGAATTTTCGTAACCGGTACTAGCCCCCGGTGCGGTGTAATAATATCGGCGTTGGCCACCCACCCCCTCGCGTGCCGTGCCGGCCTTCGTAGGTGCTACTCGCCAACAGCACTTGCCCCAAGGGGCTGTATTGGCGGGGGGATCTTTGTCTTTGCTGCGATGTTGGTGCGCGCGCGTTCTGATCGCGCTCTGCACGAGGCACCACCACGAGTCCCGTCTCCTGGGCCAGACGGGGGTCGCTTAACCCGCGCTGCCCCAGAGGCCCGGGCGGGACGCGTGAGAGGGGCCCCGCCAACAGCAGCAGCATAATCATCATCATGTTCGTCGTCGTCACCTCGCGAAGGTTCAAGGAAGGAACTTCGAACGCGCAGCGCCGGTGAGCGCACAAGCGGGGCCGCCAGGAGGGGCGACGGGCAACCCGCGATCTCGGTGGCCGCGATCAGACAGGCGGCCGGCAATGACCAAAGCCGCGTGCCTTCTAGAATAATCGACGTTAAAGACGAGCCCACGACCCCCAACTCCCTCCTCCCAATTGACGTCTCCGTTGAGCCGGCCGTGGTGGCGCGCCTGCGACCCATCGCATTGGAGGCGAGGGTTGGTGGTTACGAGCACAGAAGTGGGGTCCGTGTACCTATCTGTGCGGACCGCTGGATGTTATCCTTGCGTATTGAAGTGTTTCTCTGTGAAAAGCCGACTCAACGTTTCCTCGTCCACGAAATAAAACACATCGCTGGACTCGGAAGGACTCGGAAGGACCCTGCAGGAAAACAAGAGTCCGAAACGAGGCATGGGAATTATTTATCAGCAGCAGCAGCAGCCATGGTCGATCCACTGCTGAATGAAAGACTCCCCAAGCCGCCGCCACTGGAACTATCGTCATCATCGTACGCAAATTTAGGATTTTACATGCCGGTCAAATGCCACATTTGCCAAACTAGTCACTGCAAGAACCGAGTTTGCCTCTAGCTCCGGAATGACGACCTCACTCGCAGTAGCGACTCTCAAAGAGACTTCGCGTGGATACACGACGGGAAACCACCTCGCTCTGGCTCATCCCTGGAGCGCGTTCGGCGCTGATTAATTGTGCAAACTCGCTGCTCCATTGAATAATCCTGTAATATGAACTCGCCGGTTCTGCGTCTCAACACAGGTGAAACCAATTGTTATCACACTGCCGCCACACATAATGCGATCCTGATGCAGATGCCGATGTTGCTATTAGCCGTGCACGGGACACTGACGATGGGTCCCGTGGACTGAGCGGCTGGTTGGATGGATACCGGAGCAGTGTACGACAACAGCGCAGCAAGTGATGCGACTCGTGGATTTGGTCGACTCGCGCTATCGAGTCTCTGCCGATTGGATCTGCGATCTTCGCTGAGCTCCGAGTATTGATGATCCCCTCGCAAGAGCGATACAGTACAGCCCCCCCCCCCCTCCACAAGCCCAGCCACTCCTTGACGGGACCTCACCTTCCTGAATGAGATGTAACATCCGAGTCGTGCTCTGCTGGGTAAACACTTGCCAGCCTTATTTACCATGGCGCCCACACCTCGCGCCGTGTCGAGCGCACTACTCGCAGCAGCAGCAGCAGCAGCGCCTCTTCAAACTTCGGGGACTGCACGCCGAGCGAGGAGGAGTGGGGCGGGAGGGGGGCGATTACAATAGCGACCACTTTGTGGGGAAGTCAACAGCGGCCGTTCTAAGGAGAGTGCAGTCCCCAGCAAGGGAATGTGGAATTAGGGGGGAGAGTTATTTGGTGGGGGAGCCCATCCCGCGTGGCTCTGCCCCCCCCCCCCCACTCGTCACGACTGTGGCTGCGAGCTGCCACAGATTACACCCGCAATGAATCGCTGCCGCTCCTACAGCACAGCCAGTGAATGGTGCACTCCGTCTGGCGCTATGATAAAGCAGTCGGTGAACGAGTTACATAGGGAATGAGTCGTGGAATGAGTTACACAGGGAATCAATGACTCCGTTCTGGGGCTGTATCGCAGTGAATGAGTTGTAGCTACGTATGTTCCACTTATTTTGTACCAGGGGTAGCCAACGGTGCTAACGAATGAGTTGGGGAACGAGTTACCCTGGCGTCATATCAGTGACGCGCGCCCTGAATGAGCAAGTGAATGAGTTACTGGCGCTCTTTCACCGCGCCGCGTCCTCTGCTTTGGGTCAACCCTGGCTGAGGAATGAATGGAGGTGGCGGGGATGATCGTCACAAGAACCACCGCTGGATTCCCCCGTGACTTTCTCTCGCGAGCGACTTGCGCTCGTGTGTGCACGATTGGAGCGAGACGCGTTCGGGGGACTCCATAGGACGGAATTAAAGAAGAGACTTTTAAATGTTGAGTAAAGACCGGTGCATGCCCCAGAGGCTGTTGAACAATGGTAATTAATGCTTTTCCGCCTGTAATGTTAATCCACTGCTGGGGCCTGTCTGTCCATACTTCCCCACGCTGGGCAGGCAGTGCGTGTTGATGAAGACGAGATTACGTGACCATACTTCCCCGCATTATGGGTGGTCCGTGCGGGGTGGTGTAGGCGCGTGGGTGGGTGCAGCAGAGGCGACTTTCACGTACTTAATTTATTTCTTATTTCATGCTGTTTTCGAGGACTAGGAGAAATGTCGTTGTTTGCTGGTGTGAGTGGAGTCGTGGATAATTCATCCCACTTCCCTCTGGGAAGACTTGGAAAGCGCCCATAATGGGGTTGGATTTAGCGTTAGCGCAGGGAGTGTTGTGGGTTAGGATAAATCAGACCCACATTTCGTAGAGCGTCTAATGCCAAACCCATTTTGGTCACCGCCATTCGAACCTCGTACACCCCGAAGTCGGCCTCTGTTCGCGTTAGTGCCATTGTTATTGTTTATGGACCTCGCTGGGGCAGAGCTTTCGCGATCCATAGGCCGTGGTCTCGTCGCCTCTGACAAGGCACAGGGCTTCTTCCCTGGGCACTCTCCGGCTGGGCATGGCCTCTCGCCGATGACCTCCTGAGGGCTACGCGCATCCATGTCCCTCTCTATCTTCCATCCGTGTCCAATTCCCTTCCTGAAGATCTTTCAGCTGAAACACTGAGCAGCGTTCAACCAACGAGAGAAACAATTTTAAGTTTTAAAGCGATGTCGCTTAAAGGATTTATACGGACTGGCATATGTAAAATATGTGTGTGTGTATAGTGGTTGGTTGAATCAAGTAACTGTGCTTGGGTAGGGCACAGTGTAGCCGGAGAGGATTATAGCTGGTGGACGAGACTTATTCTGGCATTGGAGGCTAGGAAGAGACCACACTGCGTCGGATAACCAACGGCGAGACGGAGCGATGTCATGTCACGAGCAGCAGCGACACGGATTGTGGCATCGCAGGACCACGAGGCAGGGGCTAGGGCATCGGGAAGAACTTAGTCCAGCAGTGGAGAGACCCTGACCTCGCGATGATGATTGACCTGCTGAAGAAATATGGCAATCGTTTATTTATGATGTCGCTGCGATGCCTTGCGGTACAGTGTAAATGCGTCCCAGTGAATGAATTGGTGAATAAACGAGTGGAGAGCGATTCGTGGTCAAGCGACCGAGTGGATGACAGAGCGATTGCGAGACTCGGCGGGATAATGGGTGCTGTAAGCGTCGTTCGTTTAAGGGAATATATTAGTGAATGAGTAAACGAATGAGTTGGCGAATGAGTGACTGAGCGAGTAAGTGTATGAATCAGTGAACGAATGATTGCACGAGTGTCCATGCGCTCTGCGGGCTTCATCGTTTGAGTGAATTGGGAAGTGAGCCATTTAGTGAATGACAGTGGACGAGAGAGTAGGCGAATGAGCAAATTAATCAACGAGCGAACGAGATGAGTCGGTGAATGAATTCGTGTGAATGAATGGAGTGTCCATTCGCTCCGTAGGCATCGTCATTCGTTTAATCTCCGTCGGTTCTCGCCGTCGGGGCGACGAGATGACCGAGGGACGGGACCCGGGGCCTCGCGCGCTGCGAGAGACGAGCAGAGAGAGGCGGGGGGGGCAGGCGGACACGGGAGGGAGGCGAGAGATGGGGGAGAGGAGGGGAGAGACGGGGGGAGATGTAGGAGGAGAGGGGCCAGGTGAGGGACTGGATGGCGAAGAGGGCTATGGAGTGGGATGTTGGCGACGAGGAAGCTGGTGAGATGAGGTGGATGAGGCGATGAAGGGAGATGATGGAGAGTGGAGGGGGAGGCGCGGGGGAGACCAGTGACGTGAGTTTGGCGCCCCCTAGTCGGGTCGCGCGCGCCCCCTCCCCTCCACCCCCTCCCCTTCACCCCCCTCCTCCTCCTTACTCCCCTCCTCCTTACCCCCCACCCCTCCTTACCCCCTCCACCCCACCTCACCTCCTTACCCCTCCACCCGACCCCTCCCCTTCACCCCCCCTCCTTACCCCCCCAACCCGCGCCCCCTCCCCACCAAGTAGGACAAACAAAGGCAGCGGGCCGTCAGAATCTCGGCAGCACCGTCCCGCGAAGTGGCACGCCTCGTGGTAAACAAGACAACAACAACAACAGCAACAACAACAGCAACAACAGCAACAACAACAGAAACAACAACAACAGCAGCGGCAGCGATGAAGTCACCAGGGCGGCGCAGCTTGCTGCACGTCCCGGGACTGCGCGGCGTCATGATGATCGCCGCGCTGGTTAAACACGCGGCGCTGCTGCTGCCGCGCGTCCTGCCCTCCCTTCTCTCTCACCACCACTCGCTCCATCTCTCTCTCACCATCTCTCTCTCACCATCTCTCCATCTCTCTCACCACCACTCTCTCCATCTCTCTCTCCATCTCTCTCACCATCTCTCTCACCATCTCTCTCTCCACCACTCTCACCATCTCTCTCACCATCTCTCTCACCATCTCTCTCACCATCTCTCTCTCACCATCTCTCTCTCACCATCTCTCTCTCACCATCTCTCTCTCACCATCTCTCTCTCACCATCTCTCTCTCACCATCTCTCCATCTCTCTCTCCATCTCTCTCACCACCACTCTCTCCACCACTCTCTCCATCTCTCTCTCCATCTCTCTCACCATCTCTCTCACCATCTCTCTCACCATCTCTCTCACCATCTCTCTCTCCATCTCGCTCACATCTCTCTCTCACCATCTCTCTCTCACCATCTCTCCATCTCGCTCACCATCTCTCTCTCACCATCTCTCTCTCGCCATCTCTCCATCTCTCTCTCTCCATCTCTCTCACCACCACTCTCTCCACCACTCTCTCCACCACTCTCTCCATCTCTCTCTCCATCTCTCTCCCTGTGGTGGTGAATCACGGCTAACCCAGACTGCTGGCTGGGGGAGGGTGCGATTAGCGAACACCGATTTTTTAAAAAGGCCAACAGCGAGTGTCGACGTTTCGCGCCCCTCGCCAGCCGAGTCGTGACTGGACTGTATACACGGTATCAACTCGCCACTGATGTTAGCCGTGACCCGGAATCGAACGTGGGTCGATCGCAAGGTTCTCGGTGGTGAGGTGGTGTGGTGGTGGCTTTGCGGGTAAGCGCGTTCGTGCTCTGATTCCAGCGGCTGCCCTGGTTAATACTGCGGTGTGGTATTAAGTGCAAAATACTTGTACGCGCCGTCTGCTTCACAGTGGACGTTGAAGACCCCCTGATGCCATTCGCAAGAGTAGACAATCGTGTGCCAGCGTCACGGTCAACATCTGCCAAATTTGAAGCAAAATAACCAACTTGAATATTTAAAAAAATGGCAATCATTGCTGTCCGACTGCGAAAACTTGGCAGAACCCTTCCTGGAAAAGACGAATGAGACTCCCGGGTAAAGAAGTGGACTAATGAATAAATAAATATCGAGCACAGCGCACGACCGCGGGCTCCTCTCGGAGTGAGCAGGCGCAGTGGTGGGAAACACCCGCGGAGGAGGAGCGGTCGCCTCGTGCCCAATGTTCGACTCGAACTGCAGAAATGTCAGAATCAGAATTAGCATTGACACTGGAGGAATCCGATGCGCTATCAAGCTCTCTTTCACAACGTTACGACAACAAACAATACGAAAACAACATAGGGGTGGAAAATATAGGAAAGGGAAACAAATCACTTAAAATATACAAATACAACGAAACGCTTTTTTTGATTGCCAGGTAAAGCCCACTGAGCTATGAACGTATTTTGTCAGAAGCGACGTGGCCACAATGATAGCTCAACAAAGTGGCTTATCACGTAGCAACGAATATCAGCAATATCAATCTAAATAATGTAAATGCACCTCCCGTCACGCACCACGTGGCAGCTACGCGTCTCCATCAGAATCCCGATCCCCTGGCGCCTCCGCGTTGCCGGGACGTCACGAACGTGCCCTGAACGTGCCCTGAACGTGCCCTGAACACGGCTGGAAACCTCGAGGCCGCCCCTCTGGTGACATCCCCGTGACGTCACCACGGGGGGGGGGGGGGCAGCACCATGGCTGCTCCCGCCTGACCCCAGTAATGAGGCAGCCGTGAGCGCCCCGCGTGACCTCCACTGCGCCTGCTGTCCGCTCTGTTGAGAGAGCCCTCGGCTCAAGAGCGGCAATTCCACATTGCCGTGGCGAGGGCCGGTGGATTCGAAGCGGTGTTCTGTTTTTCAGCGAGCACCCAGAGATTATTGTATTTATGATGGACTGAGTCAGTCAAACCACAGCTGTGGTATGAATTCTGGATTTTCCCGATTGCGAGATGGTCGCGTGATTCGTTGCGCTCGGAATTCCTTGACGTGCTCGAGATGTACTTCGTCTGAATGTCGGTCAGTGGTCAATCAGAGGCGCGTCTCCGCCGTGTTGAGTTGTGAACTGTCGGTGCGCAGACGTTCGGATAATAATTCCGTGTCCCTGACGTGGATTCACGATGTTGACACGGCCTGCGAGGCATTTTGGGTCTGCACTTTAAAAAAAAACAGAAACTGGAGGCAAGTGGAGAGTGAAGCGAGGTTTGACAACGTCAGAGCAGAGATAGTACTTAACATTTTTCCAGAGTCATCTGAAAATGCCGGAGATGTTGAGCACTTACGGAACGTAATGATTTTCTAGGCCTGTGACGCCGCTTGGCTCGCAGTGAAGGCATGCCCCAATAGCCGCTCAGTGGCTATTTTGCCACGTTGCATTTGTTTTCTCTTTTGAGCCTCATTTTGATGACTTTTTTAGTTTTCGTAGAAGGGAAGTAATAAAATAATACAAACAATTCTCAGTGAGAATTATTTTAGTATGTTTTATTTTTATTATTGTATTACTTCCCTTCTACGTGACTTTACCGAAAGAACCAAGAAGATGAATCCCTGCAGTCGCGAAAGCTTTAAATCGAATTTTTTTAATTTTGTTCTTATCCCTCTTAAGCAAAACAAACAATTGTGAAAATCAGCAAAACAGTGCAGACGTGCGTGGGAGTTGTGAACACTTTGAACCATTTGAAGGAACCAAAATTGACGGCATAAAAAAAAAATCAATGCGAGAGATGACAAATCCTTAGGAAAAGCAAACGAGCATGTGCGGCGGGAGGTCGGGCGACGCTCGCCAATTGAGAAGGCGACGAAGAGGCCGCCCCGAGAGCTACAGAGGGACGAGAGAAGCTGGCGTCGTGCCAGGTGGGGAGCGAGGTGGGTCGCTTCCGCAACGACGCGGGGAGCCGTTCAACTCAGCAGTGGATCGAGCGAGGCCGATGGGGATGACCACGGGAGCGCTGGCGGGCCGGTGACGCGGCAGCTGCGGGTGCACGTGCCTCTGGAGCGATGCGAAGTGATTTCCGCCGTGAATCGCAGCTGTCCTTGGAATAGCTATTGATGGGATCGATAGAAATAATTCCGTGATATTGATAACGGGGAACGTAACCCGCGTCGAGGCATCGCATTGTCGTGGGGTTGATGCGTTTGTTAGCGGCAGGCCGCTCGTTCAGTGGCGCTCGGAGCGCTCTCCCTGCAGAGCGCCGCTCTCTTGCCGCGTCCCACGATAATCCACTCTTGCTCAAGTGAACGCTTTTTGCGAGCGCGAGGAAGAGGCGTCTTTGATGTAATATTCCCGCGGTATAAGGGGGTCGCGTTTCACAACAGCTTAATAAATAAACGGGTTTGTGGCTAAACACGTCAGCCCTGCTATTAATACCCTGTGTTAATAATACAAGGGGTGGCTGTTATTGTCTGCTGTTTGTTTAAACATAGGTATGCATGCGTCGCCGCGGTCACTATTGTTGTGCGGCCCTGTGCAGCAGCAGCAGCACTCCACCCCGACTCCCGCCACTGTCTCACATCCACAGTAAATCATCGCTCAGGGGCTTTTGATTTGACGTTTGCGACATTTTCGCTCCTGCTTCATTTTCAGTCTGGTTTAGATTGCACTCAATCCCACTGTTTTAAATGTAATGGATCTCATAAATACCATCACTGTGTTAGAACAATAATTTAACCTAAATAATGTACAAATCTTGTCAGTCCGCTGCTGGATGAAGGTATCGCCAGATGTCGGTGGTGAGGGAATCTCACCGCACTTCACCAAGCTGCTCCGTATGGGTTGGGGAAGAGGCTGGAGGCCAGGAACCAGTTCAGATATCACCACCGATATCACAAACGACCGGGAATTGAAATCGTGTTACCTGGTTCATCGTGCAACGTGCTAACCACTGTGCCACTGCTCCCTCTGGTTTAAAGTGAACGTCTCTGAAAATATATCTTGGAAGTTGTGCCGGTCCCTGTGTTATGAATTAAGCATCAAAGATGACGATGAAGATGTTTTAAGGCATTTTTCCATAAAAATGAGGCTCAATGCACCAAACTTGTGCCAGATTTTCTGCAAAATATTCACATTGTGGCACCACACAATAATGAAGTCGCACTCCGTGGTTTTGTTTCCCTTATTTCTACTCTGTAAGTGAAGTCCTGTTATGACGCAATGCCGTTCTTATCGCAGGACAGGAGAGAGGCGTATGTTTCATTCATTGTTGTTGTGTGCTAATAATTGTTGAAATTGTTTCCATGATTCAGCAGTAGAGTTGGTCCCCCGTCTGGGCTTAATAACCACAATAACAACAATAACAAAACATCTCACCACATTCCATCTGACATCTACCCGACTATCAAGAAACGAATGCTGGGTTAACATTGCGGACAGGCGCCCCCCTTGCCCTAACACCGAGGTCTGTCGACTTGTGCCCCCCCCCCCCGTCCCAGCAGGAGCGCACCAGGGGCTGCGCTTCACGCTGGAGCCCCCTCGCAGCGTCGTGCTGCCACCGCGCGGCGCGCTCACGCTGAACTGCGCGGCGCGGGACGGCAACGGCGGCGCCGCCGCGACGTCCCCGGAGCTGAGCTGGAGGAAGGACGGCCGAGCGCTGGGCGAGGACGGGGGAGCGGCACGGGCGGCGCCCAACGGCACGCTGCACGTGGCGCGTGCCGGGCGCGAGCACGAGGGCGACTACGCCTGCGTGGCGCGCGGGGCCCGCGGCGCCGTCGTCGTGGGGGCGGCAACGCGCGTGCGCGTCGCAGGTGGGTTGGCGCGACGCGCCCCGGAACGTCGATCGTGCTGCCACGCGGGGGGGGGGGGGGGGGGGCGCGAGGTGGCCGGTTTTAGCACGGTTGGCTACGTACGGCGCGAAAGAAGTTCAACGCATCGTACATACTGTACATGCCTACATACCAGGTGGCTCCGGGGTCAGAGCGCTGAGCCGAGGTCGCCGAGATCCTGGGTTCGAGTCCAGGCTTCGGCCGCCTGTGATTGAACCGGGTGTCGTGAGCGGACGGTCTCAGCCCGGTCACAAATGATTGGACGAAAAGAAATGCCTCCAAACGTTACATTTCGGGGTTCTGCACTTAATTTCGCTAAATTCTGGCTTTTGAATTAAATGTAGCTGAGGGGGGTGGCAGAGGTCAGGGGGGGAGATGCGCTGCCCCCTGTTGTGTGGACCAGAGTTCACTCGACGGGATCTCAGAAGTGGTTCTGTGATATCTGCTTCCGTGGGCCATTCTAACACCAAGGGTTGCACTGCTCTGCGAGAGGCACAAATGGATTCTTTGTCTCGTGCCGTGACACCGATGGTGCCATTGGGACAAAAGGACAAACATAATCCTATAATAATAATCTGTAATAATAATCTATAATAATAATAATCTATAATAATAACAATAATGAACGTGGGGTTGAGTGTGGGGGTAGGTTCTGATTGGGTCGTGCTGCGTGACCCCTAAAGGTTGCATGCAGCTAACCCCTATGGTTAGATGTTGCCTCTTCACTTTCGATTCGCTGCTGATGACGGTGTTTACAGCTGTTATCACCGGCGTCCCTCTTGCTCCACGCAAGCCCCTCCTCCACGCCATGACGCCAGCGCACTGCGATGAGCCTTTTCAAGGGCAAACTCAAAAGGCCATTATAGGTGCTGAAAATCTGGAATAGGCTGTGGGTACATCATCGTTAATTCCGAGTAGCGGGGGTCTGATTTAGCACCTTATTTTCAACTGTGAATTGTTTTAAAGCAGATTTTAAGAGGTATTGCCATATTTGAAACCTTGTGCATCAAAACCTCGTGTGATGGGGACAGCGCATGAAGAGTAATTTGGCAAATGACATAAGATAAGCACATTACTGAGCTATCCGCTAGGTGAGCATTTGGCCAATCGTGTAAAGTCCGTAGTGCCTCTAGTGGATAGAAAGTTATCAATTGCAGTACTGCATCTGAATCACGTGTCGGATTGACAATTGGCCACTTGCACAAGTTTTGGCTCGCTCAGCAGTCATTCATCCACTCCGTCTGACCTGCAATATTGTGAGGAAAGAGCAAACCAATTGGCATTTGGTCAGCTAATCTGAAGTTTTGCCGTGAAATTCTTATCAAGCATACAAGGGATTTGCGCAGCTTATGTCTGCTGGAGATGGACGCTTAGAGATGCTTGGATTCATCTGACAGCTGTGACTAAGCTTTGATCTAAGCCTGCCCTCTCCAAGATCCAGGGTGGCTCCTCTCCGTGCCACAGATCAGAGGTGGGCCCTGACTGGGCATAGGCAGGGCCCGCAGCAAGCTGCCGCTAATCAGCGCCGTGACTGTGTCTGATGTCAACGCATTGACTGCGACGGAGATGATGGGACTTCACAGCGGCACGTGGAAATGCCACTGGCGCACATTTTAAGATGTTGGATTAAACAGTAATATTATTATTCACGATAATATTAATAATTATGCATTGATAATGCTTGCAATTATGTTGTGCCCGAAACGTTTCGGAGAATGTTTAAAAATTTCCCAAAACTCAAGCTACGCATGGGGGTAGAGCTCACTTTCATTGGCACTCCTGAGTCAGTGGTGGTAATTCCACATTCCTTTGTGGGGCAAAAATGTCTCTGGATATTAGTTCTAGATGTCAGATATATAATAATGCAAGGACAAGCAAGCAGAAAATATAGAGTCAATGTGCACTTGTAGTTTATGAATTGGCTAACTTGTTATTGTCGCACTGGCTGTATGCTCATGAGTAGAAACCTTCCGTGGCGTTGAGCCAATGTTTTCCGCGAAGCAGGTGGAGGCTGCTCCACTTGAGCCCGACTTTAACTCCTCAACGCCAGCAGGCGGGGGTTGGTGTCCAGTTACTGCGGCCTCACGCTGGGGCCTGGTCCAGGGCGGTTGCAGCCGTCATGAGTCAACCTCTTTAACCCAAGGGTGGGCCCTGGCCACGTGGCCATTTGTCATCGAGTTAAGGGAGCGCTACTCTCGACATCGATACGTAGAGTCCGTTGACTATGCCGCTGCCGACAGATAGCATCGGGCAGAAACTGGTCTTCAGATATAATTATTCTGTGTGGTGGCGATGTTCGTGACGTAAATTGGGAAACTCGACCGCTTCAACTTCTACCGTGTGGTCTCCTGCCTCCTGCACAAGCGGGCACGTTTTGAAGTCGCCATTAAGTTGAAGCGGAACGTGAGTACGTCTGCGATAGTAGTGCAATCTACGGACTTGACAGCCCCCCCCCCCGCCCCCCACCCTCCCCATCGTGGATTAACCATCGCACTCTCCGGTGCAGGCGCCACGCTGCCCATGCGCCACTTGACCAAGGGGAAAGTTTGCAGGCGCTGAGCTCGCATCATGGGGCAGTGTTGCTTCCCCCCCCCCTCCCTTCCGAGAGGGAGGGATCGAAACTCGCGCTGCAGCTCTCAGCGCTGCGTGCGAAGCAGTCCGAGTCTCGAGCGGCGGTGACGGCTCAAGCGGCGGATTTCACAGCAGACATTGCCCACGTGGTTTCCCAAGAATGTGTTATTTTCAGAGCAAGCGGCTACATAATCCATCTCGATTGTGCAATCTTCCTTGGAACAAAACGGCACTGTTGCATGAACTAACGGCGCAAATCCTGTATATTTGTGCGTCCTCGGTGAGGTTAAGCAAGTGCAGCAGATGGTGTGGAGGCAGGGGGGACCTCTACCCCCTGATGGAAGGATTAGGGACCTTCCTTGAGCGTTGTGCCCGTGTTTTGCGAGGCGACACGCTCCGCTAGTCGTCGTTGGCCAGAGACATGGTGGTGTGAGATGTTGACTATCTCGCCTGGTATACAGGCCATGGGTTCAATCGTGACCGACGCCTGTATATTTGGAGTTTGCATATTCTCCCTGTGGTCGTGTGGATTTTTCTCCAGGTTTTCCGGTTTTTCCATCCACATTTTGGAATCGACAAGCGTTTAGAGCATTTGGCTGCTATAAATTTTCACACGATAAGCCACTTCGTTAAGCTTTCATTTGTAATAGCCGAGTTGCTTCTGAAAAAGAGCTATACAGCTCAGTGGGGCCTTACCCTGGTAAGATAAAAAATGTTTTTAGTATTGTAGTTTAGACGGAGTGTGCGTGTGTCTGCGTCGCACCCCGCTCAACGACCAAGATATATTTTAATTGCTGAGGCAGAAATGAATGCTCTATCCATTCTGCCTGTATTATAGAAGAAGGGAATTGGGATGCTCAGTAAAACTGATCAGCTATTAGCATATCTGCTCCACCCTCCAGAATTATGTAAAATCCGGCAATTCCCACAGTGGATTTTTTAAAACAACAAAAAGTCACATTTCCTCTGCGAGCAGCGCTAATGAATGTGCCAAGCGCGCTTGTCCATCCCCGCGTGTATTGGCGCGTGTGTGCGTGCGTGTGTGCGTGCGTGCCTGTGCGCACGTGTGTGTGTGCGTGTGTGCGTGCGTGCCTGTGCGCACGTGTGTGCGTGCGTGCCTGTGCGCACGTCGGCACGCATGACGAGCGCGGAGAAGCGCCCTCGTGATCACGGCCGCCCCGCACGGTGAGAGGCGACCGGATAATTCTCCTCAAGCCAACTTCAAATGGCAGTGACGCGGCGGAAGCGTTCTGCCCATAGCTGCGGCAGATTTTAATATTTTGGATCGTGCACTAACATTAAATATTCATGCAAACTTAAAATAAAGCATATCCGTGAAACGAACATCTGCTTGCAATTCACAGTGATCACAGACATCACTGTTAGGTTTTAATTTATTATGGGACAATGGAATAAATAGTTTTGCCACCAAAGCATGCGCTACAAAGCATCTCCTGCGTTTGTCCTCCCTTCCCTCGGTCTTGCGGCCCTGTGTCTCTCCCACGTCTCTCCACCATGGTTCTCTATTGTATCTCCTGTTACCCACCCCCCTTCCATCCCACGTCTCCGGTTCTCTCTGATCTCCATGTGTCACTTGCGCTCTCTCCCATCTCTCTTGTGTTTATCCGTCTCTCTATTGTGTCCATCTCTCAACGTCTGTATCCTGCCTCTTGTCAATCTCCTACTTCTCGCTTCCTCTCTCTCTTATATGTGCGTGTCTGCGACAATGGCGAATGGAGGGACATGTGCACGTGGGACAAACCGCTACGCAAAACGTACATTGTTTTGAAAGAATAACAAGCGACACTTTTGCTCCGCAACGCAACTTTGTACAAGCCAACTTCGCGCGTCAAACTGTCACCAGGTAAAAATAACCAAGAGGGATCAAATATTTTCACGAATAAATGTAAATTGGCACGTGAGTAAAGGCAGACCACGCGCTCACCGACATCGCCACGAGCACACTGCCTCGTACTTGAAGCACACGGAGCGAGATAACAAACTCATACATTGTTGTTCTTATAGAAGTAACCAGAGAAGAGCCATCCCCAAGACCGTGGCTCCCACCACGTTGTATCTTCCTGTCGTGAGGTGCCATTAACCATGGGCGAAGTGATTTCAGAAGACGTCACAGTGCTTGATCAACGCTGCCCCACATTTGGGGATATGCTGTGTCTCTTGACGGGCTGCGGTGATCAGTAATCGATACCAGATCACGCCGTAGACTCCTAAACCTTGTGAGCTGTGAGCTCCCACCTCGCCCCCCCCTCGCCCCCCCTCGCCCCCCCTCGCCCCCCCCCCCAGCCAGGGATATTTTTTCCACCGAACCTCTTGTCAACCATTTTTAAAAACGGAAAAGAGGAGTCATGTGACTAAAACTTCCTGTTATTCTGGGCTTTCCGCTGATGAGA